TTTCTTCTTTTAACATTGTGAAGCTCTACTTAGAACCTTCTTAAGATCCAATAGCGCAAAATGCAAATTCTTGCACTTTTTTGACTGGTCTTAAGATTTTGATCAGGAGCGTATTTCTTTCTTTTTGTAACATCCGTGTGAACATAAAACTTTATACTAATTATAGTGTTGTATATGGTGAATGTTTTTCTTTTTGTCTGTTTACATGTTCGGTTTTACTCTACTATACCTCTCATTAGACTACTTTATCCAGTTTTCTTGTTTAGAGTACCCACATACTTTTTATCATTTAAACTCCTCACCTGCTGCTTTTTTCCCCCCAAAATATGTTGTTGTTTTTTTCCTTTCTATTTCTATGCTATTTTCCAGTCTTAAATTATGGTAACTTTGTTTATTCTACCAGCTGACATTTTCCTTTACTTCATGACACAAGATGCAGGAAAATGCAGAGAATAAGAACTCCATTAGAGACATAATCTCTGGTATGACAATCTACATGAAACTAAACCTTTCTCAGAAATCAGAAGTTCCTATCTACACAGCACTGAGGCTGCACAAAACCTCCAATTAATTAAAGTGCAAGAAATGCAGAAATAATTTGCAATGTATTGACTGATGTCCCCCCACCCACCCCCCAAAATGATTCAACAGAGAAGGATGTGATGATGTTACTGACACCTTCAGGTTAAAGGCTAACATGATGAGGATTTGTCTCACATTGTCACTATTTAATTTTACCAGCAGATGGCAGTATTGACATGCAATAATAATAATAATAATAATAATAATAATAATAATTTATTCTGAGCAAATAACTAAATGTTTCCATGTGTTTCTTCTTTGAGAAGCACCAGCAAAAAATAAAATCTATGGAGTAAAACACCACTTATGAGTCATTAAACCTTTCAGTTACAAATGTTCCAGCCATCATAACTGAAGGTGTGCAGGAGCTGCAGAGATGAGATAATGATCTAAATGTTAATTGGAGGTGTTTTACATCTCAGCAGGGTGAGGGGGACCTGCGGCTTGTTGTAATGAATATGTTTTAATTGTGGCAGGCTATTTGACATTTGAAAAGTCCAATGATCCCTCTCAATTCTTGACACCCATTTGCATTTCCATCTTTAAGGTCAACTGGGTATGAATAATACATTAAGGAGGTTCTTAAGCTCACAGCTAGCTGTACCTGTCCTCACAAAGGCACCAGCTGAGCCGTGCTAAGCTCAGTGAATGTTACAGAAACAATCAATTAATATCACTTTAGGAAGCCACATGTGAAGCGCGCGCAGGCATCCTGTTATTAGTGGGACTGTAAGGTCACGCAGTCAATAGCAGATATGGGAATCAGCCCCTTTTGATTACATTCATGCAGTGTGTTGATCTGAACAGTCACAAAAACTTATCTGTATTCAGACTTACTGTGTGTGATGGGAGCAATTTCATAATGTGCTTCTGAGAACAATATGGGAAATGAAATGGTTAACCTGGAAAAAAAATCAAGATCAAAGGAAAGGGCCTAAAAAAACAATCTTGGCAAGAGATTGGAAGAATTTAATGAGCAAAAATTAACATGCATTAAATCTGACCTCGTGCTTACATGGCAGATGTTGAGAGCAGCAGCATCCAAACAGATAAAACAAATAATTTGAGGGGGAGACAGGGAACTTAAACACAACACACTTTGCATTCCACTTGTTTTTGCACAAATAATTTTACTTGAAACAATTAAGTGTTTTAATTTAAAAAAAACTCTTTCAGACTAAAACTCATGAGATTTTAAACAGATAAACAAGTGAGTAAATTTTTTAGGGGACTGACTTTCATTACAAAGTCAGAGTTAGGAGAATTGAATGCTTTCACTGAATCTATTACCTCGACAGGACAGATTTGCTGACTGTTTTGACAACTCATTACTAGTAATTTCACTGACGGATGGGTGAGGAGGCTCGTGGCGCCACAGATTGTATGGCATGTGTCTGAAATAATGTAAAACAGAGAGAGTGAGAAAGACTTTTTATGGCTAATGATTGTTTAAGGTGGAACATGATAGAATTAACATTTCGGTGCTATCAGACCAAAACAGAAACACATCCTCCGTCCATCTGTCTGCAGGTTTAAGCCTAAATGAGAAGAACATTTAATAGTTTGCCAAAAATCCAAACAATAAAGAATAATAATTAAAACATCCATGTTTTATTATGAAGGATTGTCCATAAAATAACTAATCGTTTCTGTAGGTGAGCTCTTGGTTCAAGTGGGTGGTGTCAGCAGCTCTTCCAGCCCGGTGTCACCCCCCCGCCTCTGCTAAAACATAATTGGTCCATCCCTGGCACCTCTCGTCACCATGAAAGCCACCAAAAACTGTAACCTACCTTGTGTGTTTTTTTCCACAAATTGAAAATGCCTAATGAGGTCCCAGGAGTTCCATTCCATTACCTCTGAGTTAATTAAAGCCTGTGCAACGTGCCAAACGGTGAATAAAGATGCAGTAAAAGTGCAGGGAAGAGGATGGAGAAACGGAGCAGGGGTTTTGCAGTGATGGGATGGCGCTGACCTGCTTTTGTGTCATTGTTCTGGGATCTCCGCTTCCAAGATGGAGCAGATGCCTATAATTTTTTTATTTGGATTTCTTTCCGGGCCCGGGAGTTTCGCTATACCCTGGTTGTAAGCGCTCATTTTCCAGTGTGGTTAGCCTAAATTCTGCTTTATTAAACTTTAAAATGTCTGTGCCACCAGCAGCAAGGCTTTTATGAGGATGTTCTCTGGTTGATTTTTTTTTAAATGCCACATTGTCACTTTAAAAATCAAACCAAATCAAGTAATCAGGTGGGTTTTAAGTTGAAGTATGTTTGGAATCAAATTTTACAACTCATTATAGAAGGTTGTTTTCAATTTTTCTTATTTGCTAAGATAAAAAAAATCTATTCAAATCACATTAACTACAAGGGGGGGAGAAAAGAATGTGGGAAAAACAGACCAAGACGTTTTCTTTAAGAAACCATTTCAAATGTTTATTTGACAAAGAAGGGGCACACACTCGTGAACTGAACAAAAAAAATGAGGGGCAGGGTTGCAATTATTGGCAAAGACTAGGACTTAAAACTTCATACTAACATTAATTAGGTTTTGGCTAAAAAGTAAAATGTGTTTTTGTTTCCTTTTGCTTTTATAAAGAAACTTTATGTACATTGGTTCTTTTATACAAGAGGTTCATTGGATAAATGCATCAAAAAGAACCCAGTTCTGCAGTAAACTTTACAAAAAAATACATTTTTCATCGAGAGCCGTAGAAAAGGAGGCAGTCAAATATTGACCAATAATATTTCTTCCTTTTCATTATTTAGAAAAAAAGTTGTTCTAATACCTATTTTAAAGAAAAGCAATATACAGCACAATGAATGAGGGGGAGGGAGGGGGGAATAAAATCGCCTTTTGTGGGATTTATTCAGTTGGTTTTGTAACCAAAGAGAGGGGCTGCGACTGGAACAGGGAATGATGGGAGTGCAGGGCGGCCTGATGGAAGGGGGACGGCGGGGAGAGCAGGGAGGGGTGCAGTGAGGTGAAGGGGATCGGCCGGGTGAGGATGGGCGTGTTCGACTGGCTACTCGAAGTACCGAGAGGGATGGAGATGGTGTGTTGGGAGGAGGAGGAGGAAGAGGAGGAGGAGGAGGAGGAAGAAGAGGAGGACCCAGAGGCCTTCCCAGGTAAGGAGAAGTGGTGTTGCACGCGTCCCTCCGGTTTGGTGGTGAGCGACAGCGGCTGGGCCTGTTCGGAGTGGGTGGCGGCCGGAGCGGCGGGGGAGGCCAAGGCGGCGGAGGGGGTGGCCGGAGAGTCCAGCATGCTGCCGTGCGACGAGGCGGGGCTGTCGCACATCTTCTCCGAGGGCAGGTACTGCACGCACTGCTTCTTCGTCCGGAGGGAGAAGTCTGGAGAACGAAACAAACAAAAACCCAAAAAATTGAAGCTAGAATTCTTCATTGGCTTGCTTGACCTCATGACAGGTTCAAGTCCCGTAATGCTGCAGCTGACGGGGTGGGGGGTGGATGAGTGAGATGTGAAAGTTTTCAAACGTGACATTTCTCATATCGACCGGTCAACACATCACAATGAAGAGACTAAAACAGGATGTCACGGCAGATTCACATGGTACGCATGTATGACTCAAAAAAGGAACACGATACAAAACGTACATCAACATGTGCACTGAGGAGTGGAAAAACGTTTCTGTTTGGGCTATTTATGGTTGCAAAACTACAAACATACCTGCAACTATGAGCACTGAACCTCATAAGCTGCTTGTCAAAAGTATAAAAAAAGGCAGGTCAAAAGGTTAGTGAGCACTAAAGCACTGAAGGTAAACAAAAATACAAAACGTAAATGTGCAGTTTCGGGTTTCACGTGAGCGTCGCAAGACAAATAAATGTCAGGCTGTTCGATTCTTTTCGCCTCTAAGTTGTTGAGCTTAAAAAAGCAAATAAATGAAAGCAGCCCAGAAGAAGAAGAAGAAGAAGAAGAAGAAGAAGAAGAAAAAAAGGGGGAGGCCTCTTACCCTCTGGTTTGGAGTCGGGTTTGTTCTCTCTCTTCCTCTTTTTCCGCTTTCCCTGCACAGATATAACAATGCTGTTAAAAACTGTTGTTCAGAGCGGAAGTAGAGCCACCTCAACCACTTCAGTTCACGAGATCAAAAGTGCACTGGCTAAACTTAATGCGTGTAGTCACATCTGAGCAGAGGCTAACAGTTTTAGTCTCTGATAAAGGGGCAAACCGTAGGGGGAAAAAAAGGCGAGTTACTCACATAGTTGTCTCGTGCTGACCATCCAGGGTAGAGCTGGGAGTGCAGTTGCCTCTCTTTTCTGGCCAGCTCGTAGTATTTGGCTTGCTCCTCTCTTGACAGTGAGTGCCACTGTGGACAAAGGACCGTCAAACACACACTCACACACACACATATATAAACTCAAATGCATGTCTGGGTTAGTGCCTTCTTACTCGTCTTCCAAGAATCTGGTTAATTGCGGCGCTCTCTTTCAGAGTGCACTCTGCAACCACCTTGGCTCTCATCTCCTTCATGTACAGCATGAAAGCGTTGAGAGGCTTCTTGATGTGAGGCTTCTTGTCCTCTTCTTTCTTGGCAGGAACGGGAGACTTCCTGCTAATCCGAAGCAACGACAAGATTCTGTGAATAAATGTGTGAACGGTGGCAGAGAAAGGGGGGGTGTTTGACAGCGTTTCATTGTCCTTACGCATGCATGGAGGGACTGATGTTGTCACCGCTGGGTTCTTGCTTGATGGCTGGCGAGACGATGGCGGGATGGGGGATGCCGGTTTGGTGGAGGCCGTGCGGAGGAGGGGTCACCATGTGAGGGGAGAAACGGCTGGACACCAGGCTGAGATGGAGGTGGGGAGAGGAGGCAATGTTTTTAACAGTCCAGAGTTTGAAACAGTGCACCTTTATGGAACCTGACTGAGGCGGTGGCGGAGAAAAAGATTTGACCCGCGTGGCGAAATTTTTCCCGCCGCCTTGCCCTCTGGGTAAATTCACTGCGCCCACCGCCTCCGTCTAGACTGAATTCATGCACACAATGTGTACTGCGCTTACTCTTTTTTTTTGTTGTTGTTCAAATAAAGACTTTTTCAAAAGACTCTTTATTCACCAACGACTGAAGGAAAGTGGAGTGTGGTGTTACTATGGTGACAGCATGGCCGTGACACCTGAAACCTTTCTCCTCACCACCTGTGCAGACCGCGGCGAGCGCCCCGACAGCCTTCCACAAAAAAAACGACCTTTACAAAGCGCCTCGCGATTTCTGATTGTTAAAGCGGAGCAAGAGTTGTGTCGGACACAAAAAAAAAAATAGGAGGGACATTAATCTCCACGCCGCCGTATCGCAGCTCAAACTAATGTTGACCAGAAAAAATGTGATTCTTTTCAAGTGTTTCCACATGCCAGGCTGTCATGAGATGCGACACGCCAAATAAAATGTTTCCATACACTCAAAAAAAAAGGAGCAGCCGATAAATAATTAACGCACCGACGCAGTTCTGATAGCTTCAACCCATCAAACGCCACAACAAGGTTACAAATCAGCTCGCAGACACTAAGTAAATAAATAAATAAATAAAGTTTTCTTCTTTTACTTTGAGACTTTAAAAATATCCTACACAAAAAAACTATTTTAAAATAAAATTAATTTTAAAATACCCCCACTTAAAATTCACTTTCAACTCGTGTTTTCTTTTCATATAGTCTGCTTAAACATTCAAACAGTATAAACAAGTTTGTGTCATAGAATTCCCTTGAAAATAAAGTTAAAAAAAATAAAAAATAAACATACATTCCTCCCCCCAATGACTGCCTGCAGTGCTGCTTCAAGTGATGACACTCAAACTCCATTTATAAGAGATATTTTCACAATTTAACAAAATATGTCCTTACAACTGGTTCTGTAAGATGTCGCAAAATGACTGATGGACAGATTTTTGCCTCTTCTTTTTTTTTTTTGAATGATCAGCATCGGCCTTATTTGAACATATTGATCTGATTAAAAAGCAAGTTTAATTCAGTTTGTTTATATAAAGTCAATTAATAAAATAAGTCGTTTCAGAGTAGCGGTCTGATTCGTAGGTATAAAGAACACTGACCTGAATTATAGCTGAATTGAATTCAAGTAAAGCAAGTATTAACCATGGAAAACACCATAACCGGGAGGATTGTTCCTTTATTGATCAGAAAAAAAATGGGATAACCAACACTCCAAAAAATACCATGATTTTAATAAGGGCAGAAAACAGGACGCATTTCGGCTACATGTTGTTTGTCAAATGTAGCCGAAACGCGTCCTGTTTTCTGCCCTTATTTAAACCATGGTATTTTTGGAGTGCTGGTTATTAGGGCTGCAACGATACAGGAAATTCACAATTCGGTTCGGTTCAATACTTTAGTCTCACGGTTCGATATTTTTTCGTACAAAAAAGAGAAATTTCCATGCCCCTTTTAACTTGTGATTTATTTATATTAATTATGAACATTTGTTTAACCTCAAAAGTACAGTTTTTTAATTAAATGTTGCTGAAACAGCAAGTTTCTCTGGACCTGTGCTCAAAAATGCAGCCTAGGTGGAGTAGTCGAACACAGATCCACTGATCCTTTAACACAGAACATCTTCAGAAGACAAGTTGATAAAGTAAATTTAAAAATCTGTATTGTTCGATACAAGTGTGTATTGTTGCACCCCTACTAGTTATCCTTTTTTTATTATTCTTCAGAACCAGGCACCCATTTACTATTCTCCCTTTTTTATAAGGAAATGTGAGTTGTGCACACTAAAAATGTCTTTTATTGATCAGAAACAAAGTGTGACTTTTACAAGAAAACAATGTATAACTACGCCTTTAAACTGTAACAGATAGGCATCAGGCTCCACGGCTGCATTTCAAAATCACACGCTAGCACTTCATATTTTAAAGCTTTTAAATTTAGCAGGATGTAACATTTAACGTAAATTAATCATAATGTGGATGAGCCAAACATAAACATAAAAAAGCAAAGATTTAAACCCTCATAGGTCGACCTCTTTGTATGACATCTGCTCTCATGTTTTGACTTACTCGTGAAGCTAAAAAAAACACCATTACATTGTACTAAAATGTATCTAAAAGCTGAAAATACTCGAAACATCGCAACACTGAACTAGAAGTCAATCTAATTCAGGTAGCAGTGTAAAAAAAACTTCCAAGAGGCGTGTTTTGATTATGTTGTGAGTTCGTATCAAGATGGAGCAGCACCAGCTATTGATCACAGACAGCCTTCTGAATATTTCATCTCACACTAACACCGGAAGCCTCGTTACAAATCTTTCCAATTTTGACAGAGGGCCAGAGAGTTCGGTCTGATGGGACATGTGGGTTCAGATAAGCTTTGATTTGTCCTAATCGATTCGCGGCCCTTTCATCTCTGCTTTGTGTGTGTGTGTGTGTGAGAGTGTGTGTGTGTGTGTGAAAGAGCGAGTAGTGGCTCAGAACACCAGCCTGACCACAGAAGTTTAGCTCTGAGAGAGAAGACAGGAGAGGAGTACTGAATGCCAATAATGTGCTCACTCTTTTTAAGAAGCTGAGCCCGTCTCTCACACACTCCCAACTCAAATCTCTTTTGTAGTCCCGACACCGAACCCCGCTCCTGATCTGGCAACGCTTTGTTCAAGGTGAGGAATGTTGTTTAGTTTTTGTTTCAGATCCTATTAATGCAAGTGACGGCATATAATCCAACAATTAAAAGTCTAAACCAGTAGTTTGTTTATTTTGTTGCTGTTTGGCAAAAAGAAGAAGTAAAAAAATAGCAAGGAAAATGTGATTACAGCGTGTGTGGCAGAGGCAGCGCATATTAGATGTCTGCCTTTGGGAGGGCGGTCATGTTGCTGAACACGATCCACTCACCTGGACATGGAGGCATTCATGGCCAGCGCAGGATAGGGGTGACGGAATCCCCCTGGAGGGATGGAGTACATGGGCTGGCCCTGCCTGGGAGACAAGAGGCGAGACGGGGGTGAGTGAACGCTACAGCGCGAGGTGGATCAAACACAGCTGACGGTGAGCCCACCAGCACTAATCCTCTACTCATCAACTCAAATCCCACCCGCTCGCGGAGCAGAACCGTTGCAATCGATTAGTGGAGCCGCAGAAAAACCCATAAATGTTTCGAAACTCCGCCTGGTAAACCCAGATGTTTTCATTTATTATCAGTGCAATGCAGCGCACCTGAACTCACACGCTGCCGTGCGGCTTCAGGGCAGGTTCGCAACACCCAGAATGCAAATATTTGTCTCAGACTGTAATAAAATCTGTTTACTGTCGACATTTTTCAGCACAAACCTAACAATATAATCCTTATATGTATTACGAAAAGCAAAATAAAGATGAGTTTTATGTGACGTAGCACTTACTGCTGCATGAACCAGCTCAGAGGATGCGCAATCGAACCGACAGCACTGGGAGACAGAGGGTAGTACGGAGAAAGTTCTGATGGATGAGGCGTTCGTGGGATACCTGAAGGTAATAACAAATAATAATAATAATAAGACAAAAATATATATGCATTTAACAAAAACAGTACACACCTGCTGAACTTTCATAGGTTTTCTCTTCTGTCATCACGATGCTCACAGTAATGTTTACTTGCCTCTAGCATTTCAGCCACTATAATCTAAATCTGCATTAAATTGCAGTGGGAGTCCAACTGATTGCAATGTGAATAAATGTTCCCTACAATATAATACTGATCCAATTCCAAACAAAACTATCTTCACATTTTGCTTTTTTTTACGCGAGCAGCATGTGGGATGTTCTGTTCTGATTCCTGTTTACATGTTAGAGGCATAAACTGAGTAATAAGTCAAACTCATGTTGAGCTCTGGTTTCTTATTCATCCCAAATGTGTCTTTTTTTTCATCCACAGCTGCCCCATTCTGCACACATTCATTTGTGTCCAATCTTTGAAGGCAAACCCCAACATTCCCAACATTAAATGGACCAAGATATGCTCCGTGCGGTTCACCAGATGTGAAAACTTAAGAAGGACATAACGGTGCAACGCGTCGTACTGATAACACGACAGTATCTTATGCAGAGTACAGTCTATATCAGGGTAATATCCATGTAAAAGCAGCAACTGCTTCCCTTTTTTCACGCAGCGTTTCCACACATTTCCCCTTTAAAAACAAGCCCAGGCGCCAATCGACAGGTTTCGGTTCTTTTGATGCAAAAACATTTGCTCTGAATTACACAACACATTGTACAGAGGAAGAAGAAGAAGAAAAAAGAAATTGTTGGATGTTTTGTGACAAATTTATGGACCTGATCAAACAACTCAAGTTCATAACAACATAAGGTTCATTCTGTGAAACTGTTTCAGTTCAGTAAAAGAGAAAAAGCTAAATACACTTCAGGGCTGAACTTGTAAATGTGGTTTTTTAATTATTATTATTTTTCCTATGGTAAACAGGCTGCATTCATGAAGCACATTTTTAAACTTAGATTCACAAAGTGTTCACTATGACTGTATATTTTAGAATACAGATTTTAAAAAACAGTTTAGTTTAAGTTTGATTTAATTTCATCTTTTAGAAAATGGAATAAAGATTTTTTTCCATGCACTATTTTCTTTTTTTCATACCTAATCACACCTGAAATAACTACAACCTAATGTCAAACTTTACATTTCTCCTGGTTAAAACGCAGAAAACGTGTCAAATTCAGTAATTTGACAGTAGTTTTCAGTGCCACTTTACAAACAGGTTTTATTTATACTATTAGTTCGACATTATAAGAAGACGTCTCACCTGTTTTTGGGTCGAGGATCTCTGGCGAGAGGTGTGATGGCGGCGTGCCGGGAGAGAAGTGTTCATTGCTGTAGGTGATAAGGGGCGTCAGTGGGTGGACATGGTGGGCGTGCTGGACCACGGGGACTTTATTGGACTAAAGAAAAAAATAAATAAAAGACACATGAAGCTAAAAGTTAGCAACAAGTGTTTTACACCAGACACTGCATTTCTGTTTCATAAAAGATACTAAACTTGTTGCTACGGCAGTTAAAAGAAACGCGTGGCGTCATTTTTAAATGCCCTCCATAGTAAACATCCCAGTTTATGTGTGCAAAAACGGACCCTGTGATGCAATCTGAACCAGCGCCGGGGAGCATTTAAAAGCCTCGCCGACACATGCCAAGATCATTACGGTCGTTTAGTCGAGGAGAGAACTGTTTGTTCAGCCCAACAAGAAAAACAACAGTGCCACCAAGTCCAAAAGCTGCACCGAGCGAGCCACAAACAAACACAATCAAGCCTGGGCAAACTGGATGAAGCCACGGACACGAGCAGTCGTCCCCCTGCACGGTCTGAGTGCAACCACCATCCTGAGAGTTATAAATGTAACCAGTGCTGGAAAAACCACTTAAAATTCTGGATCGAACTTAAGATAAGTGTTGAGCTGTAAGAGATGAAACTTCTTATTGTTTTCGGGGTGTTCTTTTTCTGTTCTCTAAAAAAGGCGGCGGTCCGTGCCACGATCTGACCGACGTCACGGCTGGGACGGGACCGACGAGGACAATAATAATAATAACCAGCGTCTCTACTTTCATTAGGCAGCGCTCGAGCCGAGCAGCCATTTCCCCCTGGCTGCCAGGCTGAATAGACCACTTGTTGGCTCAACTTGTCACATGGGAGGGTCAAGGGGTGGGAGGGGAGAAAGGAGTCTTGTTCCTCCAGGCTAACCTTTCTTCAATATCCTTCCCCACCCCCCCTCCTTTCTCAACCTCTGTCTCTCTCCAACGTGGTCTGCTGGGAAACAAGGTTTGCATTGAGACTTCTGTACTCTCGTTTTTGCTTCACGTTGCTCAGAATTGTTCCAACTCTTCAGCTTTTTAATTTTTTTTCCCCTTGCCACTTTTTTTTTATTTAAAGCAAACTTTTATCTGCCTTTAAAAACTTTGGCAAACGAGAGAAGAAAATATTTACTCCTGTTCAACATGTCTATATTAAGATCGCTTTGCTCAGGACATTTTTGATTTCTGCAGACTTATGAGGCAACACACACACACACACACTAAAAAGTTTGTTGCAGAAAAAAAAGTTACCTTGCTGGGTTAAACTCCCAGCTCCCATATGTCATGTATATTTGAGCTTTGCTTTGTTGTTCTACTTTGTGTACAATACGCCTGAATTTTCCCGATGCTGTGAGAGTTGTTGGAGACCTCCAGACCTGGGTGCCAACACATTTTGGGAAGCGGTTCAGTGAGAATTTGAAATGATGCTCTTTTAATTATTCATATCCTGGAATACACGAATCGTGCACTCAAACATAAGTTCGAAGGGACTACTTTCAGCTGCCTTCTTGGGTGCAGCGGTTCGAGGGGAAAGAGGTTCGCTCCAGACGTCCATTCTGATTCCTGTCCTACCTGCAGGAGGAACTCGAGGGCGTAAAGGCAGATACTTCATCAAGAAAAAACTCCCTTATTTAAGGCTAGGGCACTTCAGTCAATCAAATCAATCAGCAAGCAGAAGTTTGATACTAATTTGAATTAATTAGACTCTCTTGAAACCAGGGAGCATGAAGTGTTTTTATATACTTTTTTCTACTTAAAAAAAAAACGACTAATGGCTCCAGACATGAATGCATCAATGCCTTCTTTTACTTAGTTTGTGTGTAAAAGTACTATTTCTTAAGCCCATTACAGCTTTATACATCAGGGTTCACAAAGTATAATCAGAGAGCCATGTTTTGAATATAAACATCTACATGACAGATGGATTCTAGCGAGTATCTATAGTATAGATAGAAAAAGTGCTCTTTATATAAGTGTCTGTATGGAACAAAACACTCAGATCTGCTCTTAAAAGTCATTTGACTTAGTCTTAAGAATGGGGGCAAAAAAAACAGCCGATTGCTGATGAGGAAATACAAAGAAAGAAATCTGTGTCTTCTGAAAATTTAAAGCTAAAAAGGCCAAGGTGGCAGTACCTTGCCTGGCTGTCCAATTTGGACCGGAGCTAAGAAAAGCACAGTCCTTGGTCAATGTGGGTGGAGAGGTGGATTTCATTCAAGCAAACATGTTTTTGGATCCTGAACATCTGAATTGAATTACTAGGCAAACAGCCGACAGGGAAGAGAGCTTAGAGCAAACTGAATAACCCGGCAGCTTTGTGTGTCTTTGTGCACGGCAGTTCTGGGTGGGAGGCTCGGAGGCCTTTCCAAACTCCAGGAAAGACGGGGTGAACAAGAATGCCAGGCATGCTGAGAAATCCAAGCCTTGTTTGTCAACGCCAACAGGAAGCGGACATGAGGGGAGACCGAGCGTGTCATGTGTCCTTAAAAAAATCAGCCACACCAGAACTATGCTATTCATCACGGTCACCGTGAGCCTCGCGTCTGGTCATCGCCTCGGAAAAAGGTCAAAGGCATTTTAATTCCAGGTTAGAATAATACAGCGCCGGCAGGCATCAGGTTTCTGGAGCGCGTATCGCCTACAAAGTTTGTAAAAAAAAAAAAAAAAACGACTGATGCGCATTAAGATTTTTTTTCCTGCCCTTCAAACTCAACCTGCAACACCACGTCCGAGTCTGTTCATCCGTGGTGTTTGACTGGAATCAAAGCGCCGGTTCCTGAACGCATTTTTGAAGAGGATCTCGTCTCCGCAGTGGGCCCAGCAGGACTGCAGACCTCGGATCAGTATTCAGTTCAGCTCTCCCAAAGCCTTTGATTTCATGATGGATCCTGAGTGTTCACTGGCTAATGCAAAACGAGAAAATCTCCCTGGACTCCTAGTCAAAGGTCTGTTAAAAGAAAATGGGTCAAAACTGAGTATATTTTTTCAAAAAAGCAGCACTATTTTTTTTTAATATCTCTACTTAAAATATTGCACAATCTGAGAGCTCAGGATCACACACGAGCAGGGAGACAAAAGGCATCTCTGGAATCCTCTTCAGATAATTTAAGTAATTTCTGTCACTGAGTGACTTGTGACGCACTGACAGGACCACAAGCCTTGATTACTCTAATAAAATATTGAAACAAAGAGGGCGACACGTAGATAGGACCGAATTTGAGGTCCTATCAAATCTGGTCACTGAGTGTGTGTATGTAGGTCTGTGTGTATAATATACTGTATCTACAGTATGTATGAATGTAGGCATGTATGTATGTATATCTTTATATATGTATGGGTATGTGTATATTTTTATATATGCCCTCCATGCATTTATCCATTTATTTTTAGGTGAGCAGACAGATGTTGGGTGTGTGGTCCTGTGTTTTCTTGGTGTATATTTAATATACTTCTAATCTCTATTTCAATCTTTCTAATTATTTTCTGTTTTTCCCCTCTTTTTCTATTTCCTCTTTACTTAAAAAAAGGACTGAATTTGAGTGCTTTGTGTCAGACGCTCTGGTCACTTCGATCTCATTAGACAGTCACAGCTCCCCTCTCTAATTCAGAAGAACAGAACAAGTCGGTGTATTCAGTAATGAGACACAGAAAAGGACCGATGGACAAATTTACTGCGAGTGACTGAACGACCTCGGAGAGAGGAAGTAAGCAAACCAGGACATCATTATCTGCTAAGAGTTAATGGCTTCGTACACTAGAAGATAAGGACTGAACCGCATCTTCTTCTCGTTGTCGTCCGTCTCCACTTCGCTCCAGTCCAGCGTGGTCACTACTGATGGGCTGACAAGTTCCTCAGCCTGCTTCACCTGCTGCCCCTGAGGCGCCTTTTGATGTATTTATTCATGAAGAGGCAGCCCGCCGAACACAGGAACCGACACGCAGGGTTTTCTTTTGTTTTTCCCCCCAATTTCGGTAGGCTCGCAAGTTTGTGTACGCACGGCAGAATGAGACGTGTTCAGAGAAGAAAGCAAAAACTAAAAAAATAAAATTAAATAAAAGCTTGTTCCCATCTTCCCCAGTCCTCCCACCACCAGCACTAGCAAAAGCAGTAGCAAATGAATGCTAAACAAACCTGTCTGTTGAATAATTGAGCGACTCAGGCCAGGGCCCGGCTCAGATTAGCATACAGGCCTTATGGACCCAATCTGCACAGCGACAAGATGGTGTTTTCCTGGACTTTTGGTATTCGCCGAGTGCACCCATTTCTATTTTACTCCACTTTCTCCTGCTCAGCATCCTCACAATTAATTAAAATGTCACTGTCTCACCGAGGATGCTTTCTCTGATTTGGTAGGTGAGACTAAAACGAACACGTGTTGACATGCTAACATGATCTTTAACGCTTCACCCTCAATAGTAAAGCAGCCACTCTGAAGACGGTTAACCCCGTCAGTCCCCTCTTCACACAACAATACCGGATTTTACACACGCGCAACTGCAGCAAAACGGGTCATCTTCAGGAGTCCCCTGCTGCTAGCTCTTCCTCGGGTCTCTCTCCCTGGCTCCCCTCGGCCCTGGGCAGTAATCCCTGGCCCCCTGTGTGTGCCCATCCGCTCCCCCTGCTCTCATTAGTGCAGTGCTGGGGCCTGGGGAGTCTGCAGGCCTGGGGAGCCAGCCTGCTGCTCCCCTCCCACTCCCCTTCTCTCTCCTCGGCTGGAGTAATGAGCACATAATCATCCTGGCTCCATGTCAGTGGCAGCACACCAGAGGGGCATGTGGGCACCTGGCCCAGAGTTGGGGTGAGAGAGGGAGAGAGAGAGGAGAAGGGGCACAGGGGGTGGTGTTTCACTCCCTATTCTCCATGCCCGGTGTTCACTGACTGTACCCAGAATTAGAGCGTTCCATCCCACATGAAATGACCCCCACGGTCACACGAGTCAGCAGATAAAGGACAGCAACCTCCTTTTTTTTAAATTTCACAGTATAAAAGCTCTTACACTTCCAGAGAACTTTTCTTCCTTTCGCCCTCCAGTAAAACACCAAAGTGTCACATGAGCTCTAAGATAACCACATTATCTTATCTTAGGCTCAGATATTTGACACATTTGTTCCAGCTTTTGTGAAAAGGCACAAACATCGACAACACAAACAGCGTTACACAACTGCTTCTATAAGAAGTTTTATGTTTTGCTCGCAACACACCTAAAAGCCTTTAAAAGCTTTATGATGGCAAAAGAGCAAGCTGCTTTTAATGTGCAAGAAAAAAAAACATCATTTGATAAGTTTCAGAAAGTTTTTGAAAAACATTCTGGCCTCAAAACAACTTGTCCCTTCTGCACTGTTTCTTTCTAGATTGTATTTCCTGATTTGATGAAGAACAAGCAAAAAAATGCATAAAAAGAAAGAACATGAATGGAATAAAAACCTCAGTTTGAGTTTAGTTACTGTTATATTAATAACTAGGACTGGCAGGGACATTTTTTTTAATTTTACAGCGTGGATAAATATATTTCATCTGGTCACATGTTGGCTAAAACCAAAACAATAAAATTTCCTGCACTAAAAAATAAGACACTAGGTCACTTACAGGTCAGTATTTATTTAAATATAATAATATAATTGGTTTATACTGAAACATAAATCAGTGTTTCCCATGAGCGATCTCCGTTCTCCCCTCACAGTTTCCCATTGACTGCTCTCAATAAGGACTTTGTCATAAGCATCGCTGAGGCCGTAGGATTCAGTAAATCAACCGCAAACTCAGCGAGCACATGTAGTTAGTACAAGAGAGGCCGAGCAGTTGAGTCACAATGATTCTTTTTAATAAAGGGCACAGATAGTGGCTTTTTGCTCCACACCAAATATTTCTTTCTGAACCAGAAAAAAAAAGCCTCGATATGATCACAAAAGGTGAGATGCCAGTAAGATGTTCTAGGCTCCGTGTTATCACACGTTTTCAGTCCGTAAAAAGCACATCCCTCAGCTAAGCCGCAAACCAAACAGGTCTGCTGAGGCCCCGCATTGTCTAACTGGAGCAAGACACCGTGATGACTAGTTCACACCTGTGTGGGAAAGTTCAGGAATGGCAACAGGGTTCAAACTTGAGAGATTTATGGCAGAGGCTGAGTTATTGTGGTAAAGACAGACAGACTGCCTGGCAGCTGGCCTGCGGGTGTTGTCAAGGGTTGCACAGAGGAGCAGCACATGAATCGATGAGAACCAGCAAGTCCACAAGCGCACCATAACTTCATTATTGCACATAACCGCATTATAGTTATAGTTTGATTAAAGTGTTTTGTATCCTCCAGAGTAAACGGATTTCCTCGATAGGTTTACATGATTTGTTTGATAATTGGGTTAATGTTCTGTGCGATGCTGACTGCAGGAAATGTTTTTTAAGTGTCATAAACAAGAGCCGCTAGTTGGTGAGACCGGTTAAATGGTCTGTGAACGTCCATTGTGGAGATTTTTTTTTCCATCAACAAAGCTGCTCTTTTTTTTTTTGTCAAACACGTTGTTTATTTTGCCGTTTTGTGCCACACTGAATCAAACCCACAGAGGAGGTCAGAGGTCAGTGCAGACATTTTCATGAATGGTTTCCAAAGTCACAAAGATGTTTGACCAGATTTAAAGGGACGGTTCACATCATTTTTAAGTTGCGTGCTGTGAAAAGCTGTTAGGATTTTACCTGTTGTAGAAAACGGTTTGAACGGCCTCAGTTTCAAGAAAGAAATGTTTATTTCTGACAGGTTTGATTAGAAACAGAATTAAACCAGCGGAAATATTATATTTTTGCTAAACGTGCTACTTCACTGGTTTTACTACAGTTAGCTGCTGCTTGTAAATAAGTTGATAAATGACTGTGTAATGCAAAACTGATGGTGATATAAAGGTTTAGAACAAACTGTTTGTTTGTAGTGTTTTAAGACAACAATTCACTTTCTTTGCTTGGCTCAGACAAGCTGTCAGCTCATAAATCCAGTCAGAAATAAACTTTGTTTATCCAAACTCGGGTCGACCAAAAAGCTATCTGCAACAGGTGAGATATTAAATGTTCATACTTTTTCACAAAAACACACATAAAAACACAATGTAAACTAGGGCTGCCATGATTAGTGGCATCAATTTAATAGTTGATGCATCGTTTGTTTGTTTGTTTTTTTCTAATTTTTGTTTTTCTCTACAAACTGTGCGGCACCGTCCACTGCCGCTTCTGCCTTTCTGTACCTGAAACACATGCGCAGTTGTGGTAATTAGGGCTGCCGCAAACAATTATTTTTTAAACAATTTTTTACTAATCTGTGATTAGTCAACTATTAAAAAAAAAAAACCAAAAAAAACCTAAGTTAGAAAAAAAAAACGACGCATCAACTATTAAATTAGTCGTTGAAGAATTTAAATGTTGACATAATCATGGCAGCCCTAATGTGAACTACTGATTTAGGTTGAAACAATTTTGTCATATATACAGTACTTATGTCATTTTGCATGTTTTACACTGAAGGTGTACTTACCAAATGCCCCGGTGTTGGAGAACGAGAATCTTTTATCCCTGCAGAGGTAGGAACATCCAAGAGCGGCCATTTCATCTGCAGGTACTGTTGGTTAGAGAAGAGAATAACTTACAAGCAAATTCAGACACACGCACAGTAATACAACCACAGCATGTTAGTCAAAATACACCGAAACAAAAGCAAGGCATGAAGTTTAAAAAGTTTAATCTAAAGCTAGTATTTCACTGGGCTGAGATAGTTTGCAACGAACTGCAAACGGCATTCATCAGGAAGTTCCCAAAATGCCTTGAAACATTCGCAGGGGTTTTCACTGAGTCACAGAGAATCACAAGAATTGCTTAGCAAATTTTCTGTCAGCATAGTCTGTAGACCAGGGCTGTACAACTGGTGGCCCGCGGGCCAAGCCCAAACCCCCGTTTTCTTCTTTAATTACTCTAGGTTCTCTCAGATAGACATAGACATGTTTGGTATCTACAGAAATGTCAGAACCTTGGCTACAAGCTGGTATACACCATTTCAATGCACACTCAAGACAGTTAAAACTACAAGCAATTGAAGATACAACTATGAAAGTGAAAATAAAATTGGTTTAAAAATTTGGCAAGTCAGAGATGTCAAAATATTATTTGTGTCAAACAGGAGGCAGAATGTGTTCTTTTTGTTTTTTGTATTGTTAAATTATCACTACTTTTATAGGGTTCTGTATGTTGTATTCATGATTAGATGCAGCAAAATAAAGTATTTCAAAGATAACAGATCTTTGTAATACTTAGTTTATTTACATAATGACTTTAATTGCTGGATGATCGGCCCTTCAGCTGTTGACCTGCTGTAACTGTGGCCCCCGGAGCAGTTTAGTTGAAAAGCCCTGCTGTAGACAGTCTCAGACTCTTCTCAGTTTGGTTTTTTTGTAAATCCAACATGCCATAGCTGTCTATTTTCCCCTCTATATATATGTGAGTTCTCTGCAACATCAGGTCCAAAGTTCCAAAGTTCATCTCAGTTACTGTAATTCCAAGAGGGAATTTGTGTAGTTTCTTGCGTTTTTGTGTCTCCAGCTAAGCTTCAACAGTTACAACGTAGTAAAGTACCACTTTAAGAGTCGAAAATCACTCATATGAGAGCTGGTGGTTTGTCTTCTCCTTGAGAAATGATACAAATGGTGTCAAAGCCACAAAGAACTCCAGCAAACACCTGTACAAGAGCCACATTTCTGCTGCTGGAGTCAGACAGTGAGTTCTGGCACCGGAGAGAGCAGGAAGAGCGATGTGAACACAGCGGACTGATGGGGGACTGTGAAATTTCAGTTTGTCAAGGAAAAACAAGAGGCCAGCTGTAGGCGCATATCGCTGCGAGGGTGGGAAGAGACAGCTGGAAGAAAGCCTCGTGTACAGAGCTGCAAACTCCAAGTTCACTCCCTACTATCCCCATCAATACGTTTGGCCTTTTGACCCCAAAACAGAACCTCATTCTTCCCCTATCACGGTAAATCACACATGTGTGAAAGTTATCATTTTAAAGTTGTGTGTCTGCTGATTTTCTCTAGTTTGTCCCTGATCACAAAATAAAAAATTTACAACCGTCTGTCCGGTTATTGCTCTTTCTTTGCGGCTGCACAATCAAATCAGAGCAGAATAAGTTTGTTTTTCTTTTCCTTTGATTTACTGCAAGATGAACGTTTTTTTTTTTTTTTTTTTTTTGGTATTTGTTCTCCAGCAGTGATGATAGCATGAGTCCAGAGCTCCAAAAGCACAGCAACCATCTGGTTTATGAATCAGTTTTAATACCGGAAACAGCCGCTTGTCTTGCACATGGATTTTCTCTCTGGTACATACTGAAATTAATTAAAAAGGTGTTTTATTATTGACACTGTTTGGCTTATGCAGGTCCGTGTCGAGCACATGCATTGAGGTGTCACAGTTTATTATCATACTTGCCGTTTGGGCTTACGAAGTGAATAAATTCAGTTTGCATCGTGCACTGAATTTTTTGTCATTTCACATTTGAATTCTTCTGCACAAACAGTTTAACATCCATCCTTTGTGAGCATTTGATGAATGGGAAGCAAGACAATAAACAGCATTTGACATTCCAAAAAAAAAAAAATGACAGACAAATCGAGCTAAAGAATATATGCAAAGCATTGTCTTGTCTTCAGAAGTGTGCAGGATAAATGATGACAAACAAGCAAACTGGAGGAGTCATGCATTCAGCTTTTGATTTTTAAAGCTCCATTCGTCATTCTGGGTTTGTAAGGAGGAAGGAAGGTTGGGTGACTGTGGGTTAAAATGGAAAAGACATTATAGCAGGAGGGGAAAAAGGGAGAGGAGGGGAGAAAAAAAACATTTTCAGGAATGAGTTTGTTGGAGCAGGCACAGGGTATTGTTTCCTGACAGCTGGGGTCCAACAGAGCACTGAGGCAGGGGGAAGGGGGTCCCTTTTTCCCTTCGAAAAAAGGGGGGAATTCTCAGAGTTGACATCAGCCCTCTTCATTTTCACTATACTGCTCAAGGCTGAATCGTAGGTTCCAACTAATGGGCCCAAGTCCATACAACTGTCAGGAGGCAGTTGCTTTTAAAGGCTGCTAGCTCCCTATTGAAACTTTCCTCTGCTCTGTGCAGGGCGCCTAATGAATGCTACTCTCTGGAGAGAAAATCCAAAACAATGCAGTTTTCTCCGTCTAATCTACGTCAATCATCAGCCCTTCCACAAACGAAACAAGCGCTACTGTGAGTGTTTGGTCGGGTCCGTCCGTGCCCACCCCGGCTCTCCCACCCGGATCCATCCCAGTTTTTGACAGCTTCTGCCAGGACTGAGGAACATGCCCCCGGGCGCTTTTTTTTCCCTGAGCACCTACTTTTCTTTTAATTGCCAGTGTGCCCCGTGTAGCAACTGTTCACACACTCTCCGAAACATCCCGCGAGGTAACACCAGCCGCACACTGTCACATTAGCTCCCGTCCAGACTCGAGCAACACACCACTCACTGGGACATGAGAAGGAGGGAGAGAGGGAGAGAAACAGAGAGAGAGAGAGAGAGAGAGAGAGAGAAAGAGAGAGAGAGACTCTGCCCATCTCTGCCTCTGAGAGAGAGAGAGAGAGAGAGAGAGAGAAAGAGAGAGGGAGAGAGAGAGGGCGTCTGCTGGGTGCTGTTTCGTGAAACAAAAGACGGGGAATTGTGAGCTAAAAACTAAAGAAAAAAACTTTTTTGTGTTAAAATTAAATACTGTCAGGAGAAAAAGTTAGGTCAATAAAAACTAGATTATTCAAATAGTTAAGCCCAGGTTTAAATGATTTTAGATGTTTGCAAAAGATTGAAATCGAGATAAACCAATAACAAGTCAACTGCAAGGCCTTTGGTAATGTGTTATACATGGCCTTATTTTATTAGAATAAAATACAGACATATGGTCAGGGCTCACAGAAACGTCTGTTTCAGCCCAGGACCTGGAAACTCTGGTAAACGCACTCGGACGGAGAACTGAAAGAAACCAGAATCTAAAGTGAAGTTTAGCTGATCCATTTTCATCACTCTCTAATTGTCTTCCAGCTTCCCCCCACTGACTCCAGCACTCAGAATAGACATCAGTAGAATGTGCTACTTTTTACAAGACCCACATGCGACAAAGGTGGCATTGATGCCACACAATTTTTCCAAAAAGTCTGCACTGGAGAGCCCTTTGGTGGTTTGAACAGAGAGAATGCAACATATGCTCTGGGGCATGTGGCCTGCCATAGCTGGGTTCTAATTGTTACATCGCTCTCACAGAGCCGGGGAAAACACGGCCAAGAGTCTTTGTCATCTCTGAAGTGCGCGGTGCCATGCTGCAGGCCAACATCAGAGAACGGAGAAGAGACAGATGTCTGGACATTTGCTGTCGAACTAAGTCAAACTCTCTGCCAAAGGGACACAAAACAATTCCAAACTTTGCTTACAACTGTTTGTCAACTCAAGAACTGCACCAAAAAGCTACTAATCTGATAATAATTTAGGTAAGTACAATACGTTTCAATTTATTTTAGCATGATTAACTAAAATGGTCAAGTAGTTAAGAGCAAAACAACTAAAGAACTAAATATGTTTAAGGCCTCACACTTGTGAAACGGCTTTGCTTTACTTGTAAATAGCAGAGCTGCAGGAATGCCTCCACCGATCGCTCCAGCAGATAATGTCAATCACCTACTGTGTGGAGAACCCCTCCCCATTGTTTTCTTTTACCCCCCAATAGAAAACAAATGGGCCACACAGCTTGCTGTTTGGCTGAGGTGTTAATTACCGTCCCTGGTCCATATGAACAGTGAGTTCAAACAATAACCCCATCAGGCCCACCTCCCCCCTGCACTGCCCCTCTCTGGTTTGCTGTGCTGCTATCTACCTGCCCTCCCTCGCTGGGCCATTGACACCTCAACCTGATCTATGAATGAAACACAATTAAAAGATTACAGGACAAAGGCGATGTGATAAGTAGCCCCGCCTCGTCTCAGGAGTTTGCATTAGGCCTCATTGTTTGCCAACATTAGAGGCAATTACACTGACAATCCTTAAGCAAACCTCAGTAGTCTTTGTGCTAATTAGTGTTTAATCAATGACAAGCAGCTCAACCGGTCAGACCTGCACTCTACATCTCTATAAATATCAGTCAGGAAGGATAATATTAATTAAAGGCATCGTAAAAGGATAGTTCCAGTCTTTTTAAAGGGGTTCTGGGGGTAGATTAGAAACAATTACAGTATGTACCTGTTTCAAATGGCTCTTTCTATGGTTTCTGTTTGGAGGAAAGATGTAGTTGTGTGGGTGGCCGTGGCTTAGGAGGAATAGTGGTCATCAGCTAATGAGAACATAGGCAGGAGTGGCAAGTAATTCACTGAAGCCCAGATGAGCAAAGTGTAATTAGTTTACTATTATTTTTGACTGATAGCACATAAGAACGCTGCTATCTAATACTGATTCAAATCACAAAAGTTTCATAGCAGCCCATTCGCCCACTGTTCTCCTATGTTTGTTATGTTGTCTTCTTCTGATTGGGTGTTCTGAACTGTAATTTCATGGTGCTCTGTACAATGACAATAAAGGTCTATCTAATT